AAATGGTTTGAAACCAATTATGGTTAGAATGAATTGAGATTTAATTTTGAAAACATTGAATTCTGTCAGCATAAATCAAATGGAATGACAACATTTGTATTGTGGCAGAGCGCAGTGGATTTATCGACCAACAGATGCTGCTAATGTGGAAGGTGTTGTGAGAACGATTGTTGAGGTTGATTTCCTTTATTCAAAGCTAGGGTTGGCCTAGTGATACTTCCAGTGTGCCTGTGATTTCGTGGCATTCCTTTATGGTCGAAAGGATCCCACAATGACCTTGGAGAAAGGCACCTTGCATTTTTTATTGCAACAAAAGCAATAATTTTGAAATATATCTTCAAGGTAACACACTTAAACTGTTAGATAGCAGATAAATCAAAGCACACCTCACAGGATCTGATGAAGGGAGTGCAGAAATTACCATGGCCACAGTCAAATAATTTAGTCAGACTTTGAAGGCAGAGAGAGAGGAGTTAGTCAGAGAATCACAGGGTACATGAGTATTGGAGCTGAAGGATTTCCCACTCACATTAACCATGATTTTGTGGTTGTTATTACAGTAAAACTGTCTACAGCTGCTCTGATGTGACATGGTGAAAACGACAGAGGACACAGTTAGACTCTGATATCCCAAAGTTACTGTCCGTGATTCTCTGCTTCTCCCTGTGCTGCAAGTTTCAAGCTCAATGATCAGAAATCTTTAACAAAATACGGATCTGATGACAACTTCCTCTTTTACACTGGAATAGTGCTGAAAACATCACAAACAAACGTAGAAATTGCTGGAGAAACTCAGCAGGTCTGGCAGCATCTGTGGTGAGGACACAGAGTTAACATTTTCAAGTCTAGTGACCCTCCTTCAGAACTGAAAATATTATATCTTGTTAAGAAGATACAAAAAGATTTTTATAACATATCAACTTCTATCTACTAGTGATCAGTAACAGCTTAACTTCTGGCTTATAAAAATAATGTTTATGATTTTGAATCTTTATCATTATGATAAAAATTAGGACTAAAAATCTCCTAAATCTCATAAAAATAATGTTTATGATATTTCAGCTGTTGATGTAAAATGCCTCAATCTTTAATTTGTGCTCAGTAAAATTTACACAAAGAAATGTATTTATTTTCTGATTTAGTATCTGTGAGAATGGACAGCATGGTGGCTCAGTGGTTAACACTGCTACCTCACAGTGCCAGGGACCCAGGTTCAAATCCCCCCACCCTCCAGTGACCGTGTGTGTGTTGCATTTGCACATTCTCCATTCTCAGTGGATTCCCTCTGAGTGCTCCAGTTTCCTCCCACAGTCTAAAGCTGTGGTGGATTGGCCATGGGAAATTGCCCATAGTGTCCAGGGATGTTTAGGTTAGGTGGGTTAGACATGGAAAATGCAGGGGTAGGGGAATGGGTCTGGGTGGGATGCTTTTCGGAGGGTCGGTGTGGACTTGTTGGACAAAATGGCCTGTCCCCACACTGTAGGGACTCTATAACTCTTCAATGTGATTGGTTGCTTTGCCTGTTTAATGATTTCTCTATTGCTGGATGCCTGGAGATATCCTTGACCTTGCTCCAAATTCAGACTGACGTCAGGAGAGGAAAAAGCCATGCCACAGAGATCAGCACAACTGTGTGTGCAGCTTCGAGGGCAGCAGTGAGTATTGTCACTTTGCAGCTGACTGTGAAATATGAGCCAGAGTGAACCACAAATTGGAGATACTGGAAATATACAGGAATTAAGGCAGCACCCGTGAGGACAGACATGAAGCCAGATTTGGAAACACAAAGGATACTCATCGGAAAATTGAAAAACTAAACAAATTCAAGACAAACAAATTTACTTTGCAAAGTAAAAGCATTGCTCATATTAGATGCATTTGACTGTTGCTGAAAAGACACATATCTTGACGAAGCTTGTCATTTTGAACTTATCAGCTCTCTTTGCAAGAAATACCAAAGTAAAAAGGAAACATTTGTACTGTATGAGAAAAGGTTGGAAAATTGTTTCTATCAATCTGAGACATTACCATGGAGAATTCACCAGTTACTGATGACGGGGACAGTTAACTGCTAGGCTTTGTTTACATTTTATACCAAGCAGGTTAACTCTAATTGGTCAAGGTATTGCCCTAAGAAATGAACCAGTGAATGACTGTCACCTATCATAGAACATAGAACAGTACAGCACAGTACAGGCCCTTCGGCCCACGATGTTGTGCCGAACTTTTACCCTAAACCTAAGGTCTATCTAACCTCCACCCCTACCTTATACTATCATCCATATGCCTATCGAATAGCCGCTTAAATGCCCCTAATGAGGCCAACTCCACTACCCTCTTCGGCAATGCATTCCACGTCCCTACCACTCTCTGAGTAACGAACCTACCTCTGACATCTCCCCTATATCTACCTCCACTCACTTTAAAACTATGCCCCCTCGTAATAGCTACCTCCACCCTAGGAAAAAGTCTCTGGCTGTCCATGTACAGCTGTAACAGGTCAAATGTGTGTACTTTCTTTTTCTCTGCGAAAAACAAAATAAAACATAAAAATATTAACAGATATAGCTTTCAGTAGATGCTACCTGACTTTTGTTATTATTATTCATTCAAAGAATGTGGGCATTGCTGGCCAGGCCAGCTTTTATTGCACATCTGTTACTGCACAGAGGGCAGTTAAGAGTCAACCAGACTGTTGTGGTCTGGATTCACATGTAAACCAGACCAGGTAAGGATGGCAGATTCATTCAGGACATTAGTGAACCAATGTGTTTTTCCTGACAACTGGCGATAGTTTCAAGGTCATCATCACACTCTCAATTCCAGCTTTTTTTAAAATTGAATTCAAAATTCAACATCTGCCGGTTGGACAATTTGAACCCGAGTCCCCTGAACATTACTTGGGTCTCTGGATTAATAGTCTCATGCTAAGACCACTAGGCCATCACCTCCCCTCAAAATCCTAAACTGCATGACAGAGTAATTCTTCACATCTAATTTGGGATATTGCTATGAGCTTTGCAAGCGCTTCTAACTTACTTAGCGCGAACAGCTGAAGGGACATGCTGTTTGATACAATCTTCCAGACTTTGGGACATATACCTACATTTCAGCACCATATATGCCAGATTTCTCATTTGCCACTTGCGAATCAATCAAATAGTGTTCTCCTTTGATCCAGGATAAATTTTGTTTTTCTTTACATCGGTATTTCTTGTGAATTGACCTGATGAATTTAAGATAAACAGTTTGGACAAATGGACCATGTGACATAATAAGGCTATTGTTCTGCTGTACGCCCATCTCTTTTTTTAACCACAGGATTTAATTCATGGGATGTGGGTGTCGAATTGCCTGTTTTGTTGCCCTTGAGAACGTAGTGGTAAGCTGCCTTCTTGAATCGCTGCAGTCCATGTGCTGTAGGTGGACCCACAATGTCCTCAGGAAGGGAATTCAGGATATTGACTCAGCGACACTGGAGGAACAGCAATATATATTACAAGTCAGGATGGGGAGTGGCTTGGAGGGATCTTGTGGGTGGTATTTCTATGTATCTGCTACCCTTGTCCTTCTAAATGTTTGAAGTCACAACTTTGGAAAGTGTGGATAAAGGTGCCTTCGCACAATGGTGTGTTTTTTGGTCGGATCGGCAGGTAATTTTCTGTAGTGTTCCTGGTTGTTCAGTATCGGTACACTTCCTTGCAGTGGTCTGTTGTATTCTGTATGATGGATAAATGGACACTGCACAACAATCGCCAAACAGAAATGTTCCCTCCCAGTTGGGGAACACTTCAGCGATCAAGAACATTCAGCCTCCGATCTTCGGGTAAGCGGGGTCCTCCAAGTTGGCCTTCGAGATACACAACAACGCAGAATCGCCGAGCGGAGACTGATAGCCAAGTTCTGTACCCATGGAGATGGCCTCAATCATGATCTTGGATTCATGTCATGTTACATGTGACCCCACCATACTGTTCCGTATCTGTAAAATCTTCCTTACTGTCCTGTTTTAACACCATCACTTTGATAACTTGTTTTGGTCTCTCTACCTTAATTGGTTTGTACAGTTTTGAATTACTTATTACTTTGGTTAGACCCTTGGCACATGACTTTTATACCTATCATGTTATTCCAACCATTTGGTTCGTCTCACCACCTTATTTTTAACTCTTTGTAATTATCTCTCAGCCTCATTTAATCAGATTATAGGTCATCCCTTCACTGGTTATTCAGCTGTTGACACTTTACTCACACCGTCTAACACTCTTGGTCACCTGAAGAGACTTGTTATTCAACCTGTCAACACTCCACTCATACCATCTGTACGATCTTTTGATCTCTCGGTGTATAAATTCTTTGTCTGATACTACCTTACTAACACCTGGAGGAAGAGCGAGGCTTTGAAAGCTTGTGTTTTCAAATAACCCTGTTGGACTATAACCTGGTACGGTGTCAGTTTTGACCTTGTCCACCCCAGTCCAACAGTGGCACCTCCATATCATGACTACAGTCACCAGTATTCTGTAGGTCATGTATCTATGATGGTCTATGGTCGTTTCAGCACAGAACTGACTGATGTCACAGAGTTAGTAGGAACTGCAGATGCTGGAGAATTTCTCATTTAGTCAGTATTTAATACTGACATTGGGCAGCAAACTGGGCGCGGTGTGTCCTCCGGGCCGCAGGGGGGCGGTGTGTCCTCCGGGCCGCAAGGGGCGGTGTGCTGTCCGAGTCGATGTATCGTCCAGGCCGCTGAGGGCGGTGTGCTGTCCGAGTCGATGTGTCCTCCAGGCCGCAGGGGGCGGTGTGCTCTCCGGGTCAATGTGCCCTCCGGGCCGCAGGGGGCGGTGTGCTCTCCGGGTCGCAGGGGGCGGTGTGCTCTCCGGGTCAATGTGCCCTCCAGGCCGCAGGGGGAGGAGTGCTCTCCGGGTCAATGTGCCCTCCGGGCCGCAGGGGGCGGTGTGCCTTCCGGGTCAATGTGTCCTCCAGGCCGCTGGCGGCGCACTGTCAGGAGGCCGGGCTCCCGGAACCGGTGGGTCCGGCGCCATTTTGTGGTCTTCTGGGGGAGCGTTGGGGTTTCGGGTTGAGTCTGCGGCCCAGGCGGGAGGAGGTAGACATGGATATGGATATGGCAATGGCAGTCCCTGAGGCCCGGCTCGGGGCGATGCGCTTTGCTGCGCTGCTGAACAGTATCTCAAACAGCCTGAGCCGGGACAATGTGGAGTCGCTGAAGTTCCTGTGCCGGGAGCTGATCAGGAAGAGGCCGCTCGAGGCCGTCACCAGCGGCATCCAGCTCTTCCAGCAGCTCGAGGAGCTCGACCTGCTGGGCCCCGACAACACACAAACCCTGAGCCGACTCCTCTCGGAAATACAGCGCCAAGACCTCCAGCAGCAACTGGCCGCTTTCCAGCAGCGGGGCCAGGAGCCGCAGGCAGACTCCGGTAACAGCAGCAATGGGAATGGGGAGGCCTGAGGCTGGGCAGTCACATACTCCCCTACCCTAACCCTGGGGGAAAGGGACTAACCCCATCACTGCACATTAAACCTCACCTAAAAACCTGCAAATAAACTCTACCTTCATAGACTACCCATTGTCATCAAAAACCGTCACTGCTGTCTTTACAATCACAGAGATCTAAAACACAGAAAAGACCCTTCATCCCATCATATCTCTACTGGTCAAAAACAACTACCTAAATATCCTAATCCCATTTTCCCGCACTTGGCCCTAGACGATTATGCCTTGGCAACTCCAGTGTACATTTTTTATTTCAAAAATATACTTTAATCATAAAACATCTTTCCTAATATCCATAGTCACTAGAGCAATTCAGTTCTGTGCAGTCTTAATGTATGGAGAACAAACCAACCCAAAGCATTTCTTATCCATATAAGACTATAATTATGTACATTTGACACACCAAGAAAGTCTAAGAACTAAACAGACCTCCCTCCCCCATAGAACAGTACAGGCCTTTCGGCCCATAATGTTACCCTAAACCTAAGGTCTATCTAACTTCCACCCCTACCTTATACGATCATCCATATGCCTGCCTAATAGCCGCTTAAATGCCCCTAATGAGGCCGACTCCACTACCCTCTCTGGCAATGCATTCCACGGCCCTACCACTCCCTGACTAAAGAACCTACCTCTGACATCTCCCCTATATCTACCTCCACTCACTTTAAAACTATGTCCCCTTGTAATAGCTACTTCCACCCTAGGAAAAAGTCTCTGGCTGTCCACTCTATCTATACCTCTGATCATTTTGTACACTTCTATCAAGCAATGATCCTTGTGGTACACTGCTGGTCACAGGCCTCCAGTCTGAAAAGCAATGCTCCACCACTACTCTTTGTCTTCTATCTTTGAGCCAGTTCTGTATCCAAATAGCTAGCTCTCCCTCTATTCCATGTGATCTAACTTTGCTAACCAGTCTACCATTAGGAACCTTGTTGAACACTTTACTGAAGTCGATATGGATCACGTCCACCACTCTGCCCTCATCAATCCTCTTTGTTACTTCTTCAAAAAACTCAGTCAAGTTCATGAGACATGTCGTCACGGTTTCCGCCTCCACTAGTTTTACAACCAGTGAGTTCCAGATCCCCACCACCATCTGGGTGAAAATGTTTTACTTCACATCTTTCAACCTTCTGCTCCTGCCCTTAAATCTATTCCCCCTGGTCATTGATCCTTTTAACAATCATAATAGTTTGTTCCTGTTTGTGCCCCTCATAATTTTATACGTCTCAATCATGTCCCTCCTTAGTATCCAAAGAATCCAATCACACTTCATACCTGAAATCTTCCAGCCCAGGGAACATCCTGGCTAATCTCCTCTGTAGACCTTTCCAGTGCTACCACATGCTTCCTATAATGTGGATTCTGAAACTGCACACAATACTATCTGCAACCTAACCAACATTTTATACAGTTCCAGCATAACCTCCCTGATCTTAAACTCTGTGCCTTGGCTAATAAAGGCACATATCCCATATGCCTTCTTAACCCCTTCATCTACCTGTCCCACTACCTTAAGGGAGCAGTGGACATGCATACTAAGGTCCCTCTGATCCTTGGTGCTTCTCAGGGACCTACTGTTCATCATGAATTCCTTTGCTTTGTTTGTCCTGCCCAAGCACATCACCTGATATTTATCTGCCTTGAATTCCATTTGCCTCTGACCAGCCTGTCTATATCCTCCTGTAACCTAAGATACTATCGTCACTATTTACCACCCCAGTCATTTTCATATCATCCGTGAACTTACTGATCAATCCTCCTACATCCAAGTCCAAAAGCATAAACAGCAAGGTCTCCAACACCGACCCCTGTGTGGAACTCCACTGGGCACAGGCTTTCTGTTACAAAAACACCCCTCGATCATCATCCTCTGCTTCCTGCCTCTCAACCAATTCTAGATTTGATTTTCCAAATTTCCTTCAGTCCAATGGGCTCTTACATAGAACAGTACAGCACAGGAACAGGCCCTTCAGCCCACCATGTTATCCCAAATATGATGCCAAATTAAACTAATCCCTTCTGCCTGCCTGTGGTCCATACCCCTCCATTCCTTGCTTATTCTTGTGCTTATCTAAAAGTCCCTTAGACGGGTCTATCATATCTGCCTTCACCACCAACCCTGGCAGCACATTCCATGCAACAACCACTCTGTATTAAAAATAAAACTTTTCCCCCACATCTCCTTTGAACTTTCCCCATCTAACCTTAAATGCATGCCCTGTAGTATTATTATTAGTATTAGAAAAAATTCTAACTTTCAACCCTATCTATGCCTCTCATAATTTTTGGACTTCTAACAGGATGGTATGGTGGCTCAATAGTTAGCACTGTTGCCTCATAGCGCCAGAGACCTGGGTTTGATTCGAACCTCGGGCGTCTGCCTGTGTGGAGTCTGCAGATTCTCCCATGTCTGCATGGGTTTCCTCCCAAAGTCCAAAGATGTGCAGGCCAGTTGGATTAGCCATGCTAAATTGCCCATAGTGTCCAGGAATGTACAGGCTGGGTGGATTAGCCATGGGAAATGTGGGGTTACAGGGATAGGGTGGGATGCTGTCAAAGCGTCAGTGTAAACTCAGTGGGCCTAATGACCTGTTCACACATTGTAGGGACTCTAAACCTCTCCCCTCAGCCTCTGCTGCTCCAGAGAAAACAACTCTAGTTTGTCCAGTCTCTCCTTATAGCTCATACCCTCTAATCCAGGCAGCATCCTGATAAACCTCTTCTGCACCCTCTGCAAAGCCTCCATAATCTTCCTGTAATGTGGTGACCAGGATTGAACACAATACTCTAAGTGCAGGCTGATCAAAGTTTTATAAAGCTGCAATATCACTTCTCGACTCTTGTACCCAGTTCTCCAACCAATAAAGGCAAGCATGCTGTATGCCCTCTTTACCACCCTATCTTCTTGTGTGGCCACTTTCAAGGAGCTATGAACTAGGACCCCAAGATCCCTCTAGACATCAATGCTGTTAAGGGTTTTGCCATTAACTCTTTACTTCCCTTAACATTTGATCCCCCAAAGCGCAACACCTCGCACTTGCCTGAATTAAACTCTATCTGCCAATTCTTCGCCCATATTCGCAACTGATCTCTATCTGGCTGTACCCTTTGACAGCCTTCTAACTATCCATAACTCCTCTGATCTTTGTGTCATCTGCAAACTTACTAACCCGCCCTTTTATGTTTTCATCCAAGTTATTTACATAAGCCACAAACAGCAGAGGTCCCAGTATGGATCACTGCGGAAGATCACTAGTCACAGACCTCCAGCCTGAAAAACCCCCTTTCACCACTCTCCTCTGTCTTCCATGGATAAGCCAATTCTGAATCCAAATGCCAAGTCACTGTAGATCCCATGCATCTTTATCTTCTGGATGAGCCTACCATGAGTTCTGAGGAAGGGTCACCAGACCCGAAATGTTAACTCTGATTTCTCTTCACAGGTACTGTCAGACCTGCTGAGCTTTGTCAGCAATTTCTGTTTTTGTTTCTACCATGAGGGACTTGTCAAAAGCCATACTTTTGCTATCAGTCTCCCATGTGGGACCTTGTCAAAAGCCTTGCTGAAGTTCAAGTAGACGACATCAAAAGCATTGCCCTTACCTGCACACCTGGTCACCTCTTGGAAAAATTCAATCAAATTGGTAAAAATGGCCTCCACTTAATAAAACCATGCTGACTGTTCTTGATTAATCCCTGGCTCTCCAAATGCAGATTAATTCTGTCCCTCAGAATGCTTCCAATAGTTTCCCACCACCAAGGTTAGACTGACTAGCCTGTAATTTCCTGTTTTATCCATTGCTCCTTCTTGAATAACAGTACAACATTGCTGTCTTCCAGGCTTCTGGCACCTCTCCTGTAGTCAGAGAGAAATTGAAAATCATTGATAGCACCCCTGCCATCTCCTCCCTTGCCTCACACAACATTCTGAGATATATTTCATCATCTGGCCTTGGATATTTTATTTTACTTTTAAGCCAGAAACTTTTCTCTGTGCATGTTGATTTATTTAGGTATATTACAGTCCTTCTGCCTGATTTCTATATCCACATCATCCCTCTTACTAGTGAATACTGACATAACGTATCCATTTAGAACCTGACCTATGTCCTCTGATTCCATGCATAAATTACCAAACATGGTCTTTAATGGGTCCTACTCTTTCCCTAGTTATCCTATTACCCTTAATATATTTGTGAAATAATTTGTGATTTTCCTTTATTTTACTTGCCATTAACATTCACGCTCCCTTCTTGCTCTCCTGAGTTCCTTTTTAAGTTCCCCCCTACTTCCCAATTCTATACTCCTCCAGTGTTTCTGCTGTTTTGAGCCCTCCGTATCTGTCATAAGTCTCCCTTTTTCTCTTATCCAATCTTTTATATCCTTCGATACATTGTTCACTGCATTTGATGGTCCCACCCTTTGTCTTTATTGGAACATGTTGGCCCTGTACTCTTCCGAGATCCTTCTTGAACGTGTCCCACTGCTGTGACACAGATTTACCTCAAAGTATCTGCTTGCATTCGACTCTGGCCAAATCACAGCTGATTTTCTTCAAATTGGCCTTCCCCGTAGCCTTGGTACAAACAGTTTTACTTTGCATTGTTGCTTTAATTCATTTAGATAATGTACAGCATAAATCCAGATTACAATCTAACTACGTCCCATCTTGTGTTGTGCTGACTGACCTACATTAGCTCCTGGTCTGTTACAGCCCCTTTCAAAATACTCAGCCTTGTTTCCGTCGAAGTCCTCAACTGTTCTGATCTCTGATTTCTTCCAGCCTGCCCTACGAGGATGTTGGCCCCAGTACAGAAAAATTGAACAGTTTGAGGATGTTTGTTTACAAAAGGGAAGGGTTTAGCAGAAACTGAGTAATATTGTCTCAGGATTATGAATGGGTTGGACAGGGTGATTTTTGAGGGAATATTTTCATTTTTGGGAGAATCTAAAACCTGGGACCAAGATCCAAAGCTGCTAAATAGTGAGTATTACATTCAAGAGGGAAATAAGGAACTATGTCATTGTTAAGTGAGTGATTTGGATGTGGAACATGCTACCACAAATAGTTGGCGAGGCACATTGCATTAGAAACTTTCAGAAAAGGTCGTTGAATACATGGTTGAGTTAGTAACATATTTCACCTCTAAGTCAGAAGGTTTTGAGTTCTAGTCCCACTCCAGGGCTTGAACATAGAATTCAAATCTGGCAGTACGGAAGGAATGCAACATTGTCAGAGGTGTCATCTTTTGGATGAGACGTTAAACCAAGGTCCCACCTGCCTGCTCGAGTACTGCCCCGAACTGACCTTGGGTACTTTATTAATGTTGTGATGAGCAAGGTGAGGCTTGAGAGGGGGGGCTTTGTTTTGTTACACCAGCACTAATCTTGTGGATTGTTTAAGAAACTGTCACCTGATGCTGAGTTTGGGTTCTTGACTTTTATTCAAAACTGAGCTTCATTTGAACTTTCCTTTCCAGGGCGTCTGAATGTTGCATTTGATGTAATTTGTAATGAGCTTGGAAATGAATGGCGGATGTTCGCAAGAAAACTAGGACACAAAGAAGCTTTGCTTCAGCAGATTGAATACAAACATCCACGCAACATGCGAGAACAGATTCAGCAGTCTTTAACAGAGTGGCAGAAAAAAGAAGGAGAAAAAGCTACTGTAGACAAACTGCTGACAGCCCTAAGGAGCTGCAAACTTAACATGGTAGCAGATTCTGTTGAAGAAGAGGTATCCAAGTGTGGTTAACTTTTAAACTGAGAATGCAATCAATTTTCTCAATGGCACAAAAATACTTTACACATCCAAAGCAATGCTTCACTTCCTTTCAAAACTTAATGGTGCAGTTCTCTTGTCTGGTGACCCGTACTTAATTCTGTAATTGCTGTCAAGCTCTTGTCGACCAGCTTCAGAGTTCGGTGTTTTGTTGAAAGTTTCAGGTTATTCATGGCACTCAACTCAAAGACTTCCTGCATGTTCATCTAAAGAAGTATGCATTCACTCTATAGCCTCATTGCAGTGGTTTAGAGTTCACATCAGTACTAACCTCGGAGTGTGAGGGCTCAAACTACTGTAGCGCAAAGCAGCATAATTGCCTCCTTCATTTCAGGCTTTTCTGCACATTCAGGCTGCTGTGACACTGTTACAGCAGGATCGATGAAAAACAAAACCACTTCACCACAGGATTACAGTGTGAATGCAAACTTCATTCAGGTTGTAAAACAATGTTTGGAACATGTTTCTAAGGTTGTTTTGAAATCTTTTGGGGAGAAAGAACACTGATAAATTTTGTAATTGTCTTGGGAACCTTCACAATTTCTTTTGTTCAGAGCAACAATACAAATTGCACTTTTTTTATATTTTGGAAGATTGGACTTTCTTAGTAAATCGCCAATGATAAAACATTGAGTTTTTTCAGTTTTTTTATCCCTGATGGAAAAAGCTTCCATGAGAATACCAGCAACAAAAACTGTTCATCCAGACTATTTGTACCTAACAACTGAGGTGATGAATGTGACAAGACTAAAAAATAAGGCAATCTGGTTTTAGGAGTTGTTGACCACAAGATTTCTTAAATGAGGTTTGGCACTAATTTGCCAGAAAAACAAGGCTAATTTTGTTAACTCCTGCACGCTGGCTTCATATAACATTTACAGTGTTTGTGATTACTCGTCCCCCTTGCCACCTAACCCAGGGGCCATTGCTCCATCAGGGCAGATGCCTGAATACTTGAATGCAGTATTTTCTGTCTTTATCTTCTCCTCTGTTAGCTGTCCTTTTCAGTCAGAATAGACTTTGAGATGCTTGCCTGAGTGTTGATATTTCTAGCGAAGGGCTTTGCTTTGTCCTTTTGTCCAGGCGGCAAGGTTAGCATGGAGGGAAGTTGCATCAGGACCCCCTTTTGTGCTTTTTGCAAAAAAACAAGAAAACGTAAACTGTACAGCACCTTCATGATTCCAGGACAGGTAGCAGTTTCGAAGTTTTGTTGCTGTCTTAGGCAAAAGCAATGGCCAGTTAGTGCATGGCACACCCTCATAAACCACTTAGAAATAACCAACTCAGCTCATCTATTTGCAAGTGTTATTTAAAGGATAAATATTGGCAAGGACATCTACAGAAGTCTATTTCAAGAAGTGGCATGGGATTTTAAAATCCATGTGAGAGATGGAGAAAAGGATTCTGTTTAACATTTCATCCCAAGACTGTAATTCCAGACAATATGATCCAGGTTATAGTTTCACCAGAATAATTCATGGTATGAAGGCATTATTTTAGGAGCAAAAGTTAAATAGTTTGGGACTCTAACTCATAGAATCCCTACAGTGTGGTAGCAGGCCATTCAGCCCATCGAGTCCACACCAGCCCTCTGCAGACCATCTCACCCAGACCCACCCCCGTACCCTAGCCCTGTATTTTCCATGATTAATCCACCTAGCCAGGACATCCCTGCACACCGCAGGCAATTTCCCATTGCCAATCCACCTAACCTGCACACCTTTAGACTGTGGGAGGAAGCCAGAGGAAACCCAAGCAGACACAGGGAGAACATAGAAACTGCACACAGTCGCCTGAGGATGGAATTGAACCCAATCCCTGGTGCTGTGAGGCAGCAGTGCTCACCACTGTGCCACCCATGGATGTACTCACTGGAGCTCAGAAAAATGAGAGGCAATCAAATTGAAACATATAGGATTCTTAAGGAACTCGACAGGATAAATGCTAGGAGGATGTTTCCACTCAAGGAAGAGTCTAGGACCAGAGGCCATAGTCTCAGAATAGAGGGGCACCATTTTATGACTGAGATATGGAATTTCTTCTCTCACAGGGTTATGAGTCTTTGGAACTCCTTCCCGGAGAGAGCTGTGAGGACAAAGATAGATCCATTCTTGATCAGTCGGGGAATCGAGGGTTAAGAGAAAATCTCAGGGAAGTGAATATAAGGAATGTTGGATCAGCCATGATCCTATTGAATTGCAGAGCAGGTTCGAGGGCTGAATGACCTACCACATTCCAATTATTATTATATGAACTGGAAATACTCAGCAGGAGTGGCAGCATCTGGGGAGAAGAAAACAAGTTAACATTTCAAGTTCATCTTGAAAATAAATGCAGATGTAGCAGGTTTTTAAGCACATACCCAGGCAAGGAAAAGGAAGGAAAGGACAAGAGGCAAGATCCATGATAGGGTGGAAGGCAAGAGTTTTTAAGTAACAAAACAGATGATCAGACAAGTGAAACGGAAGTGGTAAAGGAACAAGTGAAGCAGCAGGTCCACAGGCAGTGTAAATGGTCATAGCAGAATCATAAACCAACAAAATGATTTGCAGTGGAGCTTGAATTGACGATCTTGATTTAAGTGCAAATACTGCCACAATGTCTGAGCTTAATGCTGCTTAAATGTAATGTTGGCCTTTATTTCAAAGAGAATGTAGTATAATAGTAGGCAGGTTTTGCTAAAACTGTACAATACACTCACCAGACCGCAGCTGAAATACTGGCATTGGAAACAGTCCAGAGAACGTTCACCAGTTTGATCCCAGGTATGGAGGCACTGGCTTGTGAGGAGAGTATGTTGAGCCTGTACTTATTGGAGCTTGGAAGGATGAGAGGGAACCTTATTGAAACATACAAGAGTCTTAGGGGACTTAACAGGATAGATATGGAAAGTTATTTCCTCTTGTGGAAGTATCTTGGACCAGAGGGTATCATCTCAGAATAAAGGGTCACCCATTGATAACACAGATGAGAAATTTCTGTCTTGAGGGTTGTGAATCTGTGGAATTCTTTACTGCAGCTGGGCTGTCAAGGCTGAGTCATTAAGTATATTCAAAGATGAAAGAGAGATTTTTAATCAGTGAGGGAATCAAGGGTTATGGGGAAAAGACAGGAAAGTGGAGTTGATGATTACCAGATCAATGATCATCTCATAAAATGGCAGAGCAGAATCAATGGGCTGAATGGCTACTTCTGCTTCTACATCTTATGGTTTCAGTGTATCCTCCACTTTGTAACGAGAACGTTCTTTACCTTTCTTTCATGGTTGTGCACATATGATAATCTCACAACCTGCGTGCAAACTTTTGGCTTGTAATGCAGCCACACTGCTTGGAAGGAGCAATTGTTTTGCCACAAGCCTGTTTTCTGCATTCCATATGTATATGCCAGAGACCACAGCTCCAGTTTCTTTGTTAAAGACCTGCTTTTATATGTTTGGGAGAACCTACCTTTGCATGATTATTTTTGTCTGCTTGCTGCAGAGGATGAGCCAGTCTAAGGAGTGTCTGATCCATCTGTCCTGAAGTGTGGCTTAAACTGACACACCAGAGCACAAGACTGTGTGCAAATGTTTCTTTGTTTTGGCCATGATTCTGTGTGTGCCGTATGATGTGATGAACCAAAAACCTGGAATGTTGAGCTCTGTATAACATATACCATCAGCTGGTATCACTTAAGGAGCTATTTAATGTTCATTTCCCAAGCATAACATGTTAAGAAAAAAACCTTCAGCCTGAACAAACCGAAACAATTATTGAAAGATCAAACTATCCATTGCTGGTCAGATTTTGAGAGTTCCTTTTTACTGCCAGTGATCAACTTGTCTGTATGTAAGGAGTGTTTAGAACATAGAACAGTACAGGCCCTTCAGCCCACGATGTTGTGCTGAACTTTTACCCTAATCCTAAGGTCTATCTAACCTCCACCCCTACCTTATACTATCATCCATATACCTATCTAATAGCCGCTTAAATGCCCTTAATGAGGCCAACTCCACTATCTTCTCCGGCAATGCATTCCACGCCCCAACCAATTTCTGAGTTAAGAATCTACCTCTGACGTCTCCCCTATATCTACCTTCACTCGCTTTAAAACTATGCCCGCTCATAATAGCTACCTCCACCCTAGGAAAAAGTCTCTGGCTGTCTACTCTATCTATACCTCTGATTATTTTGTACACCTCTGTCAAGTCACCTCTCATACTTCGTCGTTCTAAAGAGAAAAGCCCTAGCTCTCTCAACCTTTCCTCGTAAGACCTTCCCTCCATTCCAGGCAACATCCTGGTAAATCTGCTCTGCACCTTTTCCAACGCTTCCACATCTTTCCTGTAATGAGGTGACCAGAGGTGGACGCAATACTCCAGATGTGGCCAAACCAGGGTTTTGTATAGCTGGAGCATAACTTTACAGCCCTTGAACTCAATCCCTCTATTAATGAAAGCTAACATACCATACGCCTTCTTAACAACTCTATCCACCTGGGTGGCAGCTTTCAGGTAACTGTGGACATGAACCCCAAGATCCCTCTGCTCCTCCACACTGCCAAGAATCTTTCCGTTAACCCTATATTCTGCTTTCAAGTTTGTCCTTCCAAAATGAATCACCTCACGCACTTCAGGTTTAAATACCATCTGCCACTTCTTTGCCCAGCTCTGCATCCTATCAATGTCCCTATGTAACCGAGAACAGCCCTCTACACTATCCACAACTCGACCCACCTTTGTATCGTCCACGAACTTACTAATCCACCCTTCCACTCCTTCATCCAAATCATTTACAAAAATCACAAATAGGAGAGGACCCAGAACAGATCCTTGTGGTACACCACTCGTAACTGAGCACCATATTGAATATTTTCCGTCCACTATCACCCTTTGTCTTCTAAGGGTCAGCCAATTCTGAATCCAATCTGCCACATTTCCCCCTATTCCATGCCTCCTTACCTTCTGCATGAGCCTACCATGGGGAACCTTATCAAATGCCTTACTTAAATCCATGTATACCACATCCACTGCTCTACTTTCATCCATGTGTTTGGTCACCTCCTCAAAGAATTCAATAAGGTTTGTGAGGCATGATCTACCCCTCACAAATCCATGCTGACTATCATGAATCTAACTGTGCCTTTCCAAGTGATCATAAATCCTGTCTCTCAGAGCCCTTTCCAATAATTTGCCCACCACTGACGTAAGACTAACTGGCCTGTAATTTCCAGGGTTATCCTTATTCCTTTTTTTGAACAAGGGAATGACGTTTGCCTCTGTCCAATCTTCCGGCACTATACCCATGGACAGTGAGGACGAAAAGATCATTGCCAAGGGCCCTGCGATCTCTTCCCTCGCTTCCCATAGAATCCTTGGATAAATCCCATCAGGCCTGGGGGACTTTTCTATGTTTGTTTTTACTCAGGAATTAAGAGTCTAATGATGACCATGAAACTATTGTTGATTGTCAGGAAAAGCAATCCTGTTCACTAACGTCCTTTAGGGAAGGAAATCTACCATACTTGTTCTGGTCTACATATGATTTCAGACCCACAGAAATGTAGTTTTCTCTTAAATGCCCTTTGAGTCATTAGGGATGGGCAATAAATACTGGCTGAGCCAACAATATTTGCATCTGTGAACAAA